TCCAAGCAATTGGATTGTATCCACCAAGTATTTCTTCTGTTTCCAACACTTTTCCAACTGCTACTGTGGGACCTTTCGAGGCACACATACGTCGAAACTTTTTACCATCCCTACTGTGTCTGTAAAGTAGGGTAAACTTGTAGGAACAAGTATTCTTTTCAAGTTCTCTTTGACTCTCTTGGTTTCTCTCCAATGATTCCATTATCTTTTGTGTAATCCATTCTGCTTGCTGTTCATTAATGACAACTGAGTCAATACCTGCATTGATGTTAGGAGCTTTACGCTTTTCATTAATCTTATTATCGTTAATTGCTTGACCTTTCCTTGGTGGTAAAACTGTAGACTTTGGTTTATAGTTTTTATCCATATGATAATGAACCATATCGCGGCGCAACTCTTTTGCTAATAACTCATCATATGGAACAATCTTTTCGCGAAAATCTTCTGGTGAAATGTTGAAAAACCTTATATGATTAATGCAATCAGATATAATTGCTTTGACTTTAGTAACATCTTCAGACGACCAACTGTCCGGTTCATTTACGAGCCCTGGGACTTGATTAGTAGCCCATTGCATTACTGATGTCCAAATATCAATTTCTTTCATGTTAAGTTCATCAAGTTTGAGAAGATCAATCAAGGTCTCTTTTGGTAGATCCATCAAGTTATCAGATTTAAAAATAATCTCTGGAGATGATAATATACGATTGTTGCAATATTCCAAAAGCTTGTTTAATAAAGTTGACGATGAGGCCGCCCACCTATGGATTGCAAGAACGTTGTGTTGTATCCATTCCGTCTGGTGATTAATCAAATGGTTTCCAACTGTGATAACAAAATTATCTAATTCGAATCTGCAAGCGGCGTCCAAAAGACCGATCCAATTTATGACCTCACTTGAATCGTAAGTCATCTTTCCCGTGTAAATAAATCTAAAAGCACGCACGGTAAATCGGTTGAGTAGGCAATTGTTATGAAGTGAGTGTATTATTTAGCCTTTCAAGTTTATAGAAACTTACCTAAGCAAAATTTCAAAGACGCCAGACGTTACATCTTCAAAAGTCATAACTGTCTGTTGCAACTCTTCTGTATTTTCAACCATCATCTTCTCAAAATATGTGCTTCTCGTGCACAATACCACTGCATGAGCAAGAAAGATTTTGTTGTTTGGCTCTCTTCCAACGCTAATCGAAACATCTGTATATTTGTTACTTTCATAAAGTTTTTCATAATCGGATGAAAGATCTGAAGACAAATCGATTGTAGCCATTTGGAAATGATAGATTACTCTCCGTTGATGATCTGATTGATGCTTATGTTTGTGTAACATTTCTGTATTTGTTCGATCACGTGTCAATTACATAATTTAAATCACCGACCGTAAAAATATGGTTCTTAATAACAAGGGTCGTCCTTCAGAAGACGTTTTCATCAGAGAAGCTTCAATTGCCCAAGAAGCTGTTAGACGAAAGCAGGTGAGTAGGCATTGCACTAGTTTGTATTGAGGTTCGTCCAGTGTTGACTCGTTATCGTGTGATTGCAGTCTTCTTTGTGTGATCGATTGCCTTAAACATATCTATGGAAAAATACAATACTTTCGTTGAAAGCAAAGAGATAGTGGATACAAGCTTGATTATAAAAGGGCACCGTACATATATTTGAAATGTGTTTGACTGAACATAGAGTAGTTGTTGATATTATTGGAAAATACTTCAGCGCCCTTTTTCCTGGCATGTTTAGTAGTGCTTCAATTTAAATTCTTGGGCGGCCACGTAAGGGAAGTTTACTTGATCTCTCATTTCTTATTGTATTTTAATATTTGTTATATCGTTTTCAAAGTTTATGACGTGCCAGATGGAAGTCGTAAAGCCCAGATCTTGCTGTTTCCCCACATTATACTTTCGTTTCATATCCTCCCGTCCCGCACCCAGTCCACCGCCCAGCGACAGAAGGGTGCTTTTGATTTGTCATGTGTTTTTCGTGATACTATCTCCAAATACTTATATGGTTGATATAGAGAAGTAGCTATGTCCCAAAGTTCCTCCGACTTGAAGATGTACGATCTGTAGTAGGTATAAAACTCTACGATGTATTGGTACACGCAACGCAGCGGGAAGAAGACATCGGGCGATGAAGGTATTGTGTCTTATTGTCTAATTATTCTGATTATTATATAATTTTATATTTAAATTACTAAATATTAGGCCGCAAGGCAGAAGGTAAAGATTGAACTTTGAGAAAGAAAAATTTTTTACTTTTTGTGATGCTCAAAGTCCATGTGTTTATAGATAGTGGCATTTCGTGACTGTGAATAAAGACGGTTCTCCTACTGGAGTAACAGGTTGTAATGCCGCGAACCCCAAACTACATCATCAATATCCCCGTTAGCGACATATTTTATGATCCCCCAGTTGCTGCTATTGGATATACACCTTTGGCCCGTCCTCCAACAGCATTGTATAATGCTATTGTTGCAATCGATTTATACGAAGTTCAACAGGCAGTTTTAGCGTCGCAAATCAAAAGAATCATTCATAAAAACCCACTTTGAATTTTTCACCCAAACAAAAATTTTTTTCAATCCGTAGATTGATATCTGTTAAATTCTGCAATAGGTGAATATGTTTACATGATTATTTTGATGCACTGACGAATAAACTTTATTAAGTGGAGGTACACTACCTACTCAAAAGTCACTGACCACTCTTCAATTTTGTTAATTGCCCACGCATAACTTTGTAATAAACGATTCAAATGCCATACAATCTTAACTGTAGTTCGTGCTTTTTCTGACCTAATAAGTAAACTGTTGAGTCAAGGCTGCTTATACCCGGTTTACATAACTGAAAATAGAAAAACTAAGCGAGCATTATGACATAAATGTAATAAAAAAACTTTTCGGTATCAATATTATAAAGTTTATATTCATTCGAAAGTACTTAAAAGCCTTGATCAAAATATTAAAAAAAGGTGTGGTTAGGCTACTTTATTGTCGAAAAATTATTTTTACATTTATGTATATAAAAATACAACAAAATATTAATAAAGCATATATGAAATGGCATTCATGCATAACCAGATAAAATCCAGTTTAAAATTCATCAATACTTTGTTGCAAAGCCTTTAGCCTTTAAAACTGCTTTTATTCTGCTCTGCATATTGCATCTGGAATTTTCACGATATCTTTCTATTGTATCATGTATTGTGCTTTTTGGATAGCCAGTTTTCTCCTCAATATCCCGTTCCGAGTGTCCAAATAGCCACCCTCCAATGACGACTCCGCGTTCAAATTCATTTAACTCGTGTTATTCTGACATTGCACTAACAAAATGGTCAAGTTGGCTTTGAATAATTGATTGTGCGTTGCATGTGAATTTGTTGATACTTAAAGTGAAGGTAAGGATTACGATATGTTGGAAATTTTCAAGGTAATATTATTCAATCTATCTTTGATAACTTTGGAGGAGATAGAGGCAGTCAGTTTGGCAGTTATTTTGTATTTGAAATACCAAACAAAGGAGTACTAGTCAAGCATTCCCTATATAACAAGTATAAGTTTTGAGGATCAAACCATCATCGCCCGCCAACGGACTATAAAAAAGCGCATTTTAAACCGGGTACGTTATCTGATCGAAGAGCGGCCTTGAGAAATATTTATCGATGGCGTTATCCCAATAAGGACTATCAATGTTGCTTATTTTACTTCTTCGTGTTATGTGGCTTTTTTGTAAACAGAAGTTGGCTAACTCTACGTAAGACTGGCCATATTAAGTCAACAGCATGTCTTATTTGGTCCCGTTTTTTTATATACTATTCTTCTTTTACGTTAATCTGCATTGATGTTCATCAAAATTGGTCTCAATACTTTGAAATTCTATGCAGTTCCATGCTTTTAACAAAAATACATTTATTAACGTCTCCCAGTTATTGCTATATGTCGCACCTCTTTTATATTTCGTGATGTCACGTCAATATGATTTACACTAACTACATGTAGTATTTCCATAGAAAATAACAAAACGTCTTTATTTAATCATGTCAACTATTATTCGATAAGCGACACTAATCAAATTTCGAAGCGCAGATTGCGTTCTTTTCATATGAAGAGGCTAAAATTTAATTCTTTTCGTCATTACGTTGAATTAGCTCCAAAAATAATATGATAACCAAAGAGTACAATCAATCATGCGATTGTTGTACACGCTCCCCATGTGAAAAAAATAAAATTGAATGTCCGCATTCCGATAATGACGCTAACGTTAATCGATACACGACATTGTCAACCCCCTTTTCGCATTTTTCGTGTTGGCTTTAAAAAAAAACTCAAGGCACCAATATATTTATTAAACTTGTTTACTCCACCTATTCGCCGTATATTAATGACAGTCATTCTACGTTCCATTTTTTATCTTCCCCATCCGAAGTCACGCTTACCCATATTTATAATATAGCTCTTCAAATACCTCATATTGACATCATTTTGATGAACTGCAAACAATTTTACGTATACTTTATGAGAAAATTATGCTTAATTTACGTGCATTTCTTGTTACCATACAATCTGCAAACGGGTAAACAGGAATACTGATAGTACAATATATTACACTACACTAGAAGTAACTTTAAATTTCGCTATTATTTGCACACACTTGCTACATTACCTCTATTGGTGCCTTTTCTTTTTTTTTGCAAAACGTTGACTTATCTGCTTCTGACAATCGTTGGATTATCCATTCCTGCATTATGTCTGTGATTGCTCTAACAAACTAACCTTTATTTGTCCGCTTATTTTTATACTGCTTTCGCATTTGCTCGCACGTAATTCCCACAGACTACCCATGTATCGGATAGTGACAATAAATTTAATTCTCCTGTCTAATACATAATGAAGATAACCTGCAAATCAAAACACACTTTTACAGTAACATTTTATATACAACTTCTTGGTTCATTACATCATTACCGAATCTTTGTTACGTCACTGCTCAATCAAGGCAAAAATTTTTTTATGCTCTTACAACAGTCATATGGACAACGTTGATGCACGAATTCGTCACTCAAAATTTTTCACATGTTCGTGTACAAGACTCGCTAATCAAGCCATGTGAGCATACAAATTAAATAAATGTCGACTTCAAATATTTGTAACAACTTGCTCATTCATCTTTTCCATGGAAGACTTGGAGTTTTCTAATTGTTAAAGAGAAAAAAAAACTATTTGCGTTTGCCAATATTTTTAAATGCCCGACAGTTTCAGAAGCAAAACACCTAGATTTATTACTACGCAAAAAGGTTGCCAAATATAATGATAAAGAATTCTCAGAGCGAAAAAAGCCCGATCATAGTGTTGATGATCTCATACACAGATTCGTTACGACTGAAACCATTTCTGGTGTTCCGCTTTCACTGCGTTTGTTAAAACAGAAACTCGAAGAACATGGTCATATACTCTTAAAAGGACAACCGTTTCGTGTACTTTATACTTTAAGGTTATTATTATGGCGGCGGTAAACGATAAAACATTAATTTTTTGAAAATGTTGCATTTTAAAGCTGTTACGTACGTATGTATGACATCAATTAAAAACTACGAGTTTTAACCAGATCAGAGATCTTTTAGACGAGTCGTATTTTCAATTAATAGGCTAAAGAATAAAAAATTCAAACGATGATACATTATTGATCGAATATAATAATTGAAAGACTAGTTCGTAAACTTTTGTATGCGTGCACATGCTAATAAAATTTACACTGATACATTCGCAGACTCAGCTTGTAAATTAATTTAATTAATCATGAGTATAAATTTCAAAAAAAAAAATTCTCTTATAAGCATATGTGTATAACTTTTTGCGCCAGACTGCATCAACATTTTACCAAATTCTTTAGTCATGTTTACGTGTACCACGTTTCAACTTATCGACATTGTAAATACGTCACTTTGATTTTTTCTAACTTTCTTTTTTATGACAAATATTATGTAAAATGCAATTCTGTTTTCGAATTCAACTATTACTATTATCATATCGCTATACGCGGGAGAGCTCCGTATACAATCTTGAGACTCAGCTTTTTCCAACGAGTTGGCCTTTGACTACCTCTACTCTCACTAAATCTATTAGCGACCTCATGATGCTTGATCAGTCTTGTATACGGATTATCATTTAACCTCGAGTTCTACGTCTATATTTCTTTCGATGGGATTAGTCTTAAAAGTCTATATATTAATATCAGAGAAAATTATTCTGCACTAAGCGCTTAATTAAATAAATAATCCCGATGTCAAAGATTTTAACGAAATCAAAGGCAAGTTTGACTCCGTATACCGCTAATACGAGAAAGCGTTTTACACTTTTACCAGTAATAGAAATCTATACCAGAGAACAAAAAAATTATATTTGAATACGAGTTTTATTAGAATACCTAATTGTAAAGTGTCGTAATAAAATCACAAATATTAAATAAAGAAATTAAAATGACCATTTTCTAAGGAAACTACATATCTTTAGACTGTTTCGCTAAATCGATTATCTGTCAAGAAAAATTTGATAAATCGGGGAAATAATTAATTAATCTAAGTATCAGAGTTTCTGTCCCGATTCGGTCAAAAAAATCTTGAGAGGCGCAACTTCTGTGTTGTATTACTAAATTCAATACCACCGATCAGACCATCCCAACAGTCTGAACGTTTATTGTAGGACGGATCTGATCCATTAGTAAATTTTCTTTCTATAAGCGGAGCATAATATAATCGTTTGAAAATTAATTTGCTAGAAAAGGCATAATAATAAACAGAAACCAAACCGGAATCTAGCGACGTGGACATTCTCGCAGGTTAGGCCAAATTAAAATTTTATTCAATATAAACGTCCACCAAAATAACACCAAAAACGAGTTGCAATAATGCCTATGGTCAATATGCTAAAAAACGTCATGTACAGCACAGGAGAAACAAACCGTTTAATTTGTTTAGTAAGCGTTATATGGTTATATAATATTTACAAATGTTATAAGACAACACTTCTATGATATAACATAATCCGAGCTTTCCGACATTGTTTTTTTTATGCAAGTTCGACTGTTCTATGCAGAAATTATGGAGAAATACGTCATTCATAATACACGGTCCTAGCACTATATGTATTAAATTCAAATTACAAGAAATGTCATATCAACGTTTCATGTAACAATGGCAAAGTAGAAGTAAACATTACTTTAACCATTAATAAAAAATGCTGGTAAAGGATGATTGACTTTAAAGGAGTAGTATTGTAGCAGTTATCTTACTTAAAGCTCAAGACAACAGCGAGTATTATTGCAACATCGCATCGTTATACATACATAACAGTAAATTTGTTTTTAATATCTGAGAATTTAAGCTACACTGACTGGCACTCACCATAAACATATTCTACCAAATTACTTTCAAACTCTCAAGCAAAAGACATAAGCCAGTTATATTCCTGTCAAAAGACGCATGTTCTTCTATTTACCAACAGACAATATGTTTGTCCATTTCGACTCAACAGTTGTACGTGTTATCGCCCAAATA